TCTGAGGCGTTCAAAGACAGTCTCGAGGTGTTTGACGTGCTCTTCTTCGTCTTTTGACATGATGAGAATGTCATCTATGTAGACAAAAACGAAGTCAAGATCACGAAAGATGGAATCCATGTATCGTTGGAAGGTTTGTGTGGCGTTTTTGAGCCCAAATGGCATGACCACGTACTCGAAGAGTCCCCACGGAGTTATTATCGCTGTTTTTTGAATGTCATCTTCGTGCATGGGCACTTGGTAGTAAGCTTTGTCCAGATCTAGCTTGGTGTAGATGCGTGTATCAGTTAGCCGTTGGAAGAGGTCTTGTATCAGCGGTGGTGGATACATGTCCTGCACAGTGTTGGCGTTCAGGTTGCGGTAATCACCGCAGAGTCTCCAAGTGCCATTTTTCTTCTTAGCCATGTGTATGGGGCTGGCGTACGGGCTGTTTGATGGTCTCAGGATGCCTTGGTCAAGCATGTCAGCAATTTGATTTTTTGCTGATTCTGCTTTCTCGCCTCCAAGTTTTCGTGCGCGTGCTGTAGTTGGCTGTCCTTTTGTTATAATGCGATGTGCATACTGTGTGTTGGTGGAATTTTTCTTGCGGATCGGCTTCGTAATTTCAATGTATTTTTGAAGCAAGTCAGCATAAATCTGCGGTAATTTTGAATCTATTGTTGAGATATTATAGGTCTGTGTTGATAAGGTCTCTCCTTTTGTTGAGAGGGACGTAAGCGGGTCGATTAGCCGCTGATTCTTGAGGTCGATTAGTAGATTGTGGTGAGTCAAGAAATCTGCCCCAAGAATGGCTGTTTGGACATCGGCGATGATAAAAGGCCAGGAGAACTTCCTGCGTAGTTTCAGATCCAGTGAAATAGTTTTAGTTCCATAGGTGCTGATGGCGGATGCGTTTGCTGCGTAAAGTGTAAGTGGATGTTTGTTTAGTTTGTCGTTCACGTGACTGGCTGGAATGATAGAAACGATCGACCCAGAGTCGATCAAGAATTTTTTGTTAGTATTGCGATCATACACGTGAAGACGTAGCTCTTGAGGCGGTAGATTGGATTCGCTGTCACCAACTGCCTCAACTGTTGACAGCGGAACTAGTTTCCCGGGTTTACGGGGGTGACTGGGACGAACTTGCATGGCTGGACGCATTTTCTCGAGTCGTTTCCCCAGCGTTGGTGATAGTAACAGTATCCGTTAGGGTTAGGTGTTGAAGCCCTGCCCCTGGACTGCGATCTGCCGTAGCCTTGGTCAGCTCTGGATTTGCGTTGGCTGAGATTGTTGATCAGCAGGAGCTGCTGTTGTAGCTGAAGTTGTATGTTGCTGATATCCTGTTGAAGACTTTTCATTGAAAGTTTGAGGTCTGAAATTTGTTGTTCGAGATGAGACTGGCTTGTTGAAGTTGAATGTTCTTTGTTGTGAACCGCATAAACCGAGCTGTTTCCCATGCTGAGCACGAGCCGGTCTGCTAGGTCCGCCAAACCGTTGAGGTCATTGATGTGGGGTGAGACCAGGAGGTACGGACGAATCCAAGCTGGAAGACGCTCTTTCCAGAGCTGGTGTAATGCGTCGCCGTTAATTGAACCCTTTGCCAGTTCACGCATCTCTCGGAGGAGCTGTGAGGGTTTCTTGTCACCAAGTGTCATGTCTCTGAGGAGCTTTATCAGTTGTGTTTGTCTAGAATCAGAGAAACGACTGAGTATTGCGTTCTTAATTGTACGGTACTTATCTTGAGCTGGTGGATCGCTGATGATGTCCCAGAGCTGAGTTTGGATGTTGGGTTGGAGAGCCTTCAATGTTTGACTGTATTTCTGATTGTCACTGGTGATGCGATTTGCTAAAAAGTCTGCTTCGGCGATGGCAAACCACATTTCAGGTCTGTCCGAGGTGAACTGTGGCAGGTGGAGGTTGACAGCGAATATTTGTGAAGGATCGAATGGTGCAACTGGTAATGTTTGCTGTTGTTGGGTTGTCCCGGTGTTACCATTGTTGTCACCATCGTTGTTGCTATTGTCGTTAAC